CTACCCATCTCTCCCTCCAATCAGTGCAAGAGATGTCTGTGTCTGAGGGAACTGATCTTGGTCCAATCGGCACTCTTGGTCCAATGGGAGCTGGCAAATTCTGTGTCTCAGGGAGCCGCTGTTGGTCCAATGGGAGCTTGTGGATTCTGTTGCTCAGGGAGCCGCTGTTGGTCCAATGGGAGCTGGTGGAGTCTGTGTCTCAGGGAGCCGCTGTTGGTCCAATGGGAGCTGGTGGAGTCTGTGTCTCAGGGAGCTGCTGTTGGTCCAATGGGAGCTGGTGGATTCTGTGTCTCAGGGAGCCGCTGCTGGTCCAATCAGAGCTTCTGGATTCTGTTGCTCAGGTTGCCACTGAGTTTGCAGTGGGATGGGTAGTTTTTCAGAAGGGGGTAGATCTTGTTGATTGCAGGTTCCCCTGTGGGTTGCTGGTGGGGAGATCTGCCTGCTGGAGTCTTTCCTACTGGCCTGCAACTGGGGCAGTAATGTGTGGCAATGGGGGGGGAGGCACAGATTTTGCCTCAGGGTCTAGTTCCTAGAGAAAGCCCATAAAGGGTTCTCATGGTGAGTTGGGCAGGGGTACCGCCTGTTCATGAAGTCTCATTAGAGGAAAGGTCTGTTTATCTATTTTTTACACATTGGTTTCTGGCCATCAAAAGCTATTTAAGTATTGGTGTGAATCAAGAAAATATTTTATACAATAAAACACAGTTACATATTAATTAATAAAATGAGTAAGCTAACAGCAGAATAAAGTAACATCACTTGTCTCTACCTTCTAATCCAGTAACAGTTCTGAAACCAGCAGGGTTGACTCAGGGGGCACCCAGGCAGGGGGAATCAGGATCTGTCCCTGGTCTATGGGCAGGCTTCTGGGAATTTGGTGCCTGTGGTGTGACACCTTCCACAGCCTTGGTGCAGTGGGAAGGGGCTTGGACCTGCCTAGGCTCAGTGAGCTGGGCTCTGCTGACTCCCCATGGGAGACCTCGATTTGGGGGATGTGGGGATGCGGGGTCACTTGGGAAAGAGGGCTAGGGGGTGGGAGGAGGGAGGAGGGAGGGTCTGTGGATAACATGAGGAGTGAGCAGAAAATTTCTCTTTTTAAAAAAATTTTAGTTTACAATATAATTTAGTTCTACATATTAGCCACAGATTCCCTTGTTCTCCCCCCTCCCGCCTCCCTCCCCTTCCCCCCAAGCCCACCCCCTATTCCCATCTCCTCCAGGGCAAAGACTCCGCTGAGGATTGAGATCAACCTGGTAGATTCAGTCCAGGCAGGTCCAGTCCCCTCCTCCCAGGCTGAGCCAAGTGTCCCTGCATAAACCCCAGGTTTCAAACAGTCAACTCATGCACTGAGCACAGGACCCAGTCCCACTGCCTGGATGCCTCCCAGACAGATCAAGCCAATCAACTCTCACCTATTCAGAGGGCCTGATCCAGTTGGGGGCCCCTCAGCCATTGGTTCATAGTTCATGTGTTTCCATTTGTTTGGCTATTTGTCCCTGTGCTTTATCCAACCTTGGTCTCAACAATTCTCGCTCATATAAACCCTCCTCTTTCTCGCCAATTGGACTCCCGGAGCTCTACCTGGGGCCTAGCCGTGGATCTCTGCATCCAGTTCCCTCAGTCATTGGATGGGGTTTCTAGCACAATTAGGGTGTTTGGCCATCCTACCACCAGAGTAGGTCAGTTCGGGCTGTCTCTCGACCATTGCCAGCAGTCTATTGTGGGGGTATCTTTGTGGATTTCTGTGGGCCTCTCTAACACTTTGCTTCTTCCTATTCTCATAATAAAGAAAAATAAAATAAAATAAAAATAAAAACAAACAAAAGAAAGAAAGAAATTAGCCATTATTGGGAAATAGGGTGAAAAAATACCAGAAAAGTGCAATTCCTAGAGAATAATACCTATTGATTAAAATAAAAATAAAGTCTAAAAGATAAAAAAAAGAAAAAGAAAAAAACAGGTAAAAATGAGTAACCTTCCCCTAAATAAATTCCACAGGGAATTGAATTTGTTTGACCATGATAGACAGAATAACCCAGAGTTCCTCAGGGGTGTAGATGATATTCTCTGGCCTTCATCATCATCCTTTTACTCCATTGCCACCAGATTTAGAAGTCCCCTGGCTCCCTTTGACCTTCAGGCAGTTAATCCTCAAGTGCTATGAATGTTCTTTGACAATTTCTTTATTAAACAGTGAGACCCTCACTTTTCAAGACTAATGCAATCTCTAGATTCAAGGACCCCAGTACCCCATTTCTTTCACAAAATAAACTGAAATAGTCCTTATCTAGCTATAGAAAAATTTCCTCTAACTTGGATCAAATATATGAAACATCTTATTGATTGTATTTTTTTACTTTTTTATTGCTCTAACAATACTCCATGACCAAGGCAGCTTATAGAAGAACACATTTAATTTGGTTTATGGTTTCAGAGGACTGAAAGGCAAAAGCATGGTGGAACAGGAACAGCTGAGAGGTCACATTTTGACCTGCACGCAAGAAGAATAAGAAGAGAGAGAGAGACCAGTGAGAATGACATGAGTTTCTGAGATTTCAAAGCCGCTCCCAGTGACATGTTTCCTCCAACGAGGTTGTATCTCCTTATCTTTCTCAAGCACTCCAACCTACTGGAGATCAAGTGTTTAAATATGTGAGCCTTTTGGGGCCATTATCATTTAAACCAGCCCATTGATTATTCTTCTCTTATTTCTTATGCACACACTGAATCAAGTTAGTTGATTGGGCATGTGGCTTTCCAGAACTTTATCCTTATAATGAACAATCACCCTTAGCTACAGGTACAACCTCTCCTCTAACTCTTACTTAGAGAGTAACACAGCATATATGCCAATTAAAGGATGATGAAAAGCCACAGTCAACACCAAGGAATATGGAAGCCAGAAAGACACCTTGTATTTTGGGAAATCTCCATTTACCTGAAGCATTTATGTCTCATGAGGCTGAAGACATCCAACATCCAAAAGAAAGAATCTGAAGGGGCACACTTTGAAATAATTTACCTCACCCTGCTCTTCTATCACAGAGAATGCCCTTTTGGGTGAAAGCCAGGTCAATAACTCTGCATTTTCTTCTCCATTGTAAGTCATCATGAGTCTTGATTCTGGCCATTTATGCTTGTGGTAGCCTGTAGAATGAGCTCTGGTTCTGTTCCCAGATCTCAGTGACTCTCTTCAGAGTCACTAATTTAACAAGGAATACCCAGTCCTGCCTGAGATGGGGATAGTCAAGTGATTTTTTAATTGGAGGTGTTCCCTTTCCTGACTCCCCAGCTCTCTCCATGTCTCTCTCATTGAACACAAAATGGAGTTCCTCTATTATGTAGTTTTGTTCCTGGACTGCCCTCTGCTTTGAAAGCACTTCTTGTTCTGTTTTGTTCTCTTTCACAACCCAAGTGACCTCTGATTCAAAGGTGTCTTTCAGTTCAGTTCAGTTCAGTTCAGTTCAGTCCGTTCATATTCAGTTATATAGTGTATTGTGGTGTCTGATTTATTTCAGAGCTCTGTGAGAATGGATAACCTGAACTCTCCTTTAGTTAATAAGTCCTCAGGAATGTACTGGAAAATTGTTGTGATGATGTTTATAACCCCATGAAAAAGAAGAAATTGATGCATTGTTGTAACAGAGTGAGATTTCTTTATGTTTTGGGCTTCAGGAGAAATGATCAATGAGTGTGCTATATATTATAACGCCAATTTAAAATGAGAGTTGTTTGCCAAGGCTTGGGGAAAAGGGAAATATATTAGGCCTACACAACAAACTGTCTTCTGACCTTTCAACCTTCACTTAAGGAAGTTTCATCTAAGCACTTAAAAGTTCTACATTGTTTGTGTCTAAGGGTGCTATCTGAACCACTGCAATTATTTTATGTTTACCTTTGACTCTAGAATTCCTGGAAAAAAAAGTCATTAGAACCCCTGTTTTTACATCTCTTGAGTGCTTGAAAATTTTCCTTAAGGGTTTTCTTTGCTCCAACATCTTGACATCTGTCATTTGCTCCACCCCCCCCCCCATCCTGTCATCACAGATCACATAGCAACCAGTGGACAACAGGAAGTGGAGACAAACCATACGGTGAGTCAGCAATGTCTTCCGATAAAATTGTTTAGAGACAGGGGCATGTGGCAATCAAGGGAAACTCAAGTTAGGTATGGTGGCACATGCTTGTGATCCCAAACAATGACAGATGGCAGATGTTACGAGACAGATAGAGACTCTGGAGAGACCACTCAATCTTTAGAGGACTGGCTGTTCTTCCAGGGGACCTGTGTCAAGTCCCAGCACTCACACTGTGATTCATAACTGCAGCTTCATTTCTAGGACACTTCTTTCTGGTGTCTATGGGCACTGCATACACCTAGACAAAACATGAAAATAAACAATAAAAACATTTTAGAAGGAAGGAACTTCAGAAATTATTTAGTCCAGAATTGCAAGAAGTGGGAAAACAGTCATGTTTCCATCCACTATCTTTTAATCTCCCTAGGCTCATTTCTAAGATGGAGCTCCATGTGAGACTGCAGTTAGGTGCTCAGAGTATCTCTGCTGCTTTGTGTCTTCCCAGCAGCATCAACCTTCCAAAGCATCTCCAGGGCTAAGGACAAATATGACTGGCCAAAGTAGACATCCCTTAATGCTGTGTAAATGGATAAGCTGAAGAGTGAATGAAATCCAGTGAGGAGGCACTAAGTGGGGAAAGAGTGAGCCTTCAGCCAGACTAATCTAGATGGGAACCATGAAACTACCAGGCCTATTTGCTGCTATTTTCTGGTCCTCAGTGTGATGAGGATATGGCAGTCATAGGTGAGGTTGGGGTAGATGTCATCTCTGTAAAAAAGTACTAAAGAGAATCTGAAACTAACACGAGATATACTGCTGGAGAAATGGGAGCCAGACGCCTGTGAGAGTACTTCCCTTTCCTGTGGAGATGAAGAAATAGCCATCATGTGATGAGGAATATTTGTCCTCCTAAGGCCACACCTTGTATTGCTTGTCCATACGACCAGACTCTCTGGCCCTGCTAATCACCATTGTAGCCACTGGAAGGAGATGCCATGACTATTGTCTTCATAGCCCTGTTCTATCTTGGTGAGATGTAATTTGTGGGAAGGGATACTGTGATTGGTGGTGGTGGTGGGGAACATGCCTCATAGCTAAACCCTGGGCCGTCAGGAAACCCAAGGGGAGCAGGAACCTGTGGGGAGGGGAGGATCTGCTCTGATTTGGAGGGCAAAACTCACACAGAGTATTCTCTTCCAGGGCTGACCCTGTTCTCCATGACCCATGTACCAGTAGGTGAGTGTGGGTCAGGAGGTTTCTTCTCCTGTGGACCAGGGGCCAATCCTGGGCAGGAAGGATAAAGAACAATAGTTGTGAACTATACTTGGGTTATACTCAGAGGTTCTTGGGGCTGAGGGATGAGATTAGAAGGCCAATGTCCTGGGATCAAGCTGTTGATTTCCTTGCAGAAGCTATTGGCAAGCCCACACTCAGAGCTCAACCAGGCTCTGTGATGACCAGGGGCATGCAAGTGACCATCTCATGTGAGGGGACCTCAAGTGCCCAGGAATACTATCTCTATAAAGAAGGCAGTCCAGATCCTTGGCAAACACAGACCCCTCTGGAGCCTGGAAATAAGGCCAAGTTCTTCTTCCCATCTATTCAAGAGAATCATGCGGGGAGATACCGCTGTTACTATAGGACCCACGTTGGCTGGTCAGAGCGCAGTGACTTTCTAGACTTGATGGTGACAGGTAAGTGAAAACCAGGGTCTCCATTACAAGGTTCTCTCCTTAGGAAAGAATCTTCCCTCTGGGATGTGTGAGAAGGCAAATCAAGGGGTGTTGGTTCATTTAACAGGATGCTCTCTTTTTTCCTAGGATTCTACAGAAAACCCAGCCTGTCAGCCCTGCCTAGCCCAGTGATGAGATTAGGAGGGAATGTGACCCTCCAGTGTGTCTCACAGCTTGGGTATGATAGGTTTGCTCTGACTAAGGAGGAACCACAGAAGTTTTCTTGGACCCTAGACTCACAGTACATATACTCTAATGGCAGTTTCCGGGCACTGTTCTCTGTGGGGCCTGTGACCTCCAGACAGCAGAGGACATTCAGATGCTATGGCTATTACCTGAGTAAACCCCAGGTGTGGTCAGAACCCAGTGACCCTCTGGAGTTCCTGGTGTCAGGTAAGGCAGCCCAGCTTGTCTATTGAAAGATATCGCCTCTGAAAAGGATCTAGGAGATCCAGGGCTCTCAATCCCATTGACACAGGGAATGAAGACAATAGGACCCAAGATACAGTAACTAAGGGAGGGAGGGCAGTGACAGTGAAACACGGGGTGTCTAGAAGATAGATTGGTCTTCATGTGACTCCAGTGTTCCTTCTGCTGTTCTGGGATCAACTCAATGATCTCCATATTATCATATAATAAATGAATAGATACGTATATGATAGGTGTATGTTATATTCATTATATGTGATTTTATGTACCTATAAATCTAGATCCTCATGTAAGAGGAAACAAGACATGAATCTTTCTGCATCTCATTTATTTGGTTTAACATATTGATCTCCAGTTGCACCCATTTTTTTTTACAATTTTCCTGCACAAAGAATATTTTCCTTCAAGTAAATATATTTGAAATTGCCTGGTAGCGTATAACTTACACATATAGATGTATAATTTTATTTGTGTTCACATGTATTTATAATTACAGAAATCTATCTATAAAATTGTATGATTATATATATATTTAACATTTTAGATGATTTCACATATTAGTGTTGGATTTAAATAATTTCTACCCATTTTATTCATTATCTCACTCTGTGCTTCTTTTATTTCCTCTAAAATTTGATCTCTGACTTTCATTTTTATTGTTATTATTATTATTGTTACACACCACACATGCACACACACATACACATATATGAACATCCTACGTCCTAGCTTGAGTTTCGTTGGATTCTTCCATTCTCTTCCTTTGTCTCCTAACAATTTTATCTGAAGACATCATAGATTCACCACATGGCTTGTCTCCACTTCTTTTTATTCACCAGTTTCTATCTGGTCTGGTTAGTTTGCTCTGGTCCTATGATGTGCAAGGGAGCAAGTGACTATGGAGTCCCTGTGGTCATTATGTAGGTCTTCTTTAGACACACATATTTTTGATATTTCATGGTTGTAGCTTTCATGTCATGTCTAGAAGACTCTATCGTGTAGCAGGAATCTTGTTCACTTGGCTCTTAGAAACTTTCTACATCACTTCCTCAATGTTCCTTTATTTTATATATATAGTTTGTGTTATAGAACATCCATTTGGACTAGGCACATTAATGCCACTTATTCTTGTTTTGACAAGTTGTGGATCTCTATAATCATCCCCATCTGTGGCAATAGAAACTTCTTTTACGAGGGGTAAGAGCTTTACTTGCTATGGGTATAAAGATTAATGTTTAGAATGCAGTTAGAAATCATATTGGTTTAGGAACATGGCAGTATTGGTTTCTTTTCTAGAGTCCATGGCCTCTCCAGGCATTGTGACAAGTAATGTATTTTTACATGCTTATTATTGGCCTATTATTTGATTTTTTAGGTTTGCTCTTTATTAGAACGCATCTGCATTCATGTACACAGTGAGCATATTTTTATGTCTTTGTGGTTGTATCATTTGTGTCATTAACAACTTGATGATTAGAGAGTGAGATGCTAAACAGAAGCATCCTGGGAACTGCTTGGGGTGACTGCAGGAAGAGAACCCCAGACTGTCACTATTTTGTGCACCAGGTATTCATGTGTCCCTGAGAACAAGAGTTTTGGGTTGGACTTTGGGTTTCCAGCTGGTGAATAGTTACAAAACAATCTCCAGGGAAATTAGCTTCCAGCATTCTATATTTCAGACTGAGCTGGAAGTACAGGAAGGCTCATTTATTCTGAACTGGGAGATCACACTTTTCCATCTCAGCTCTCTGGAATCAGATAAACTCTATTCCAAAGAGGTGCCTAGGCCAGAAGTTCTGAACTCAGCATAGTCAGGCTGAAGAAATCAAGCCAAAGAATAGGAGGAAGCTTGATACAGCACAGATTTTCATGATGTTGTGTGATGAGATTATTATGCATTTCTAGGAAATGAGAAGATGAAACTGGACAAAAAGAACTAATTCTCTTGAGCACTTCACACATCCAACATGTCTTTGTTTCTCAGGAGCACCTGAGACCACCAGACAACCACAAAACATGTCAGAAGCCATGACAGGTGAGTACGGAAAATTCTGGTTTGGGCATGACACAGAAGGTCAAATTCTATACTGAGGAGGGAGCCTCTCAGAGTAGAAATCCAGTTATCTTATGGTGGCTTTGGTTGGTCCTGATGTTTTTGTCAACAATTTCTAGTCTCACCAACCCAGGATCACACAGTGGAGAACCTCATCCGGATGGGCATGTCTGGCTTGATCCTCACACTTCTTGGGATTTTGCTCTATGAAGCTTGCCGCAGCCAGAGAAGAACCTTCACTGCATCCTAGAAGTGAAGAAGAGAGATAGCAACAGACCATGCATGGTGCCCACATAGGGGACGCAAATTTGAGGGTCTCTGGTGTTTTTTGTTTCAGTTTTTTTTTTGGGGGGGGTTGTTGTTTACATAGAATTCAATGTTTAATATCGGGAATCACTTGTGAGGAAAGATCCAGGAAGGAAATGTGTTTTGGGTGCAGGAATAGGCCTGGATGTTGGTGTGAACAGCTCTTCCACCACCACAGAAAGACTCTACCCTCTGCCTTGCTGTGGACTTTGAAGATTTTTCTTCCTTCCTTTGCAGTCTATGATATGGGGGAACCTGTTGTCCCAGCAGTGAGGTTTGAGTCTTTTCCTCTGTGTATCTTCTGCTTTCCCCCAGTCTCTTGTCATACTTTCCTTCATTATAAATTACCACATTCCCTATTTTCCATTACGAGCATCTGCTCTTTGTGGGTGTTGTTACTATGAACAAGGCATTTGACTCAGTACAAGATCAATAAAAAATGAGCACAAGTCAGATTCTAGAATGAAAAAATAACTGAATATCAATGATGCTCCTAAAAATCTATACTTTCAAACCATTATGTATTCATCCCAAACTCATCGTGAGAGTCTGACAATTTATGAAAAGTTGCTGTCTAGTGTTTAAAGTGACTATCTGGTTGGATGCAGTTGTTACTGTTTTCAGAATATCATTTTGTTAAACAAGCCCTGGTCTGTGACATTTGTTGATTGTTGTGTATAAACCTTTGCATCGTCACCTTGAAGTCCCAGCTTATTCCACCATACCAAGGTCAGCCTGCTCCATGCTAGAAACAACCCGAGGCGGCGATCACAGCAGACGTGGCAACCTTTGCCCTCCCTGACTGGTTCTGTGTGAGAAGGTTGGATACCAGCAAGCTATGATGTATATTTGCATTCTCACAATACAGGATATTTGTTTAGTCCTCAATTGATTATTGGAATATTTGAGATCCATGAAAAGGAGACCCCTATGCAGCCTAGCTGTTTTGTTAAGGTCAAGTGTGAACATTCCATTTTCACAGTCCCTTGATCTTGTTAATTGTGTGAAAACTGCAGTGAGGACTTGGGGCTCTGAAGACACAAAGCCCAATGCAGAAAAAAAAAAACGGGACACTGTAAAGAAGGAGATGGTGAGCATGAAGACTGAGGTTTCTGAGGTATTATCTTGATTAATGTGATTAATGTGGAAAGTCCCATTTTAACTGTGCTTGGGAATATTTTTGGGACAAGGGGGTGCTGGTATGTATAAAACGAAGAAAGTGAACTGAGCACCAACCTGTGTTCATTCATCCTTCTCTGCATCTTGTATGTGGATGTAGTGCTTCTGGCTGCTTCAAGTTTCTGTTGCCTTGGTTTCTCTTCTTTATCCTGGGGCTGTGAGCTATAAAAACCCTTTATCCTTTTAAGTTTCTTCCACTTCCCTGAGTATTTTATCATAGTAGCAGGGAAAGTAACAGAGAGGAGCATCATGACCCCCTCCTTTAACAATGTTCACACATTGACAACTGAGGCTTAGGTCAGTCTTGGGCAGTTAACCATAATTAGAGTTCATCGGTGTGATCTGACATTGTGTTCAGGAGACGGTATTTCACAGCACTACCCTTCATCCCTGACCTTTCTACTTCCACATTCCCTGAACCACTAAGAGGGGGATGGAGATGTGCTAATTAGGTCAAAGCACTCCACGGCCACTTACTCTCACGCTTTGACAAACTACCAGTTTGTACTCTCAATTGACTGTTACTGAGTGTATACAGAAATGTGTGATTAACACTGAGACTGGCACTAATCTATTCATATAAATATAACTAAGGCAGTTTGGCACCATGTGCATTTAGCCAAGTAAGAGTAGCAGATACGTCTCTAGGGCTTATAATGTGTCCTGAAGTGAATTTTTACCCATTTTTTTTATAGTACCATGCATGGATGCTTTCCTGTCGAACATACATCATGTACCAAAAGAAAGCAGTTAGCTATTTCTTTAACAGTCATGCACAAGCAGGCAGATGGAGGCCTTCTGGCAGGTATTATAGGACATAGGCATCATAGCTAGGTAGGACCATTGGCGACTTTCCTCCCTTAAAAGCCTACACAACACATTCCAGATTATGAAGCTAGTGAAAAGGAGGAAAATTTCAGGCCATTTTCAGCTTGATTTCTCCATATTACAAAACCAAAGTTTATGATATCTTCATCAATTGGGTTTAATTATTTGATGGGAAACCAAAATTGATTACAATACCCTGTATTCTTTTTTTTTACTAAGAGATTTTCTATTCATTTTACATATCAGCCACGGATTCCCCTGTCCTTCCTCCTCCCACCCCCAGTCTCCCCCCCCCGCATCCAACCCCCCATTTCCACCTCCTCCAAGGCAAGATTTCCCTTGGGGAGTCAGCAGAGCCTGGTACATTCAGTTGAGGCAGGTCCAAGCCACTCCTCCCTGCACCGAAGCTGAGCAAAGTGTCTCAGCATAGGCAGTAGATTCCAGAAAGCCAGCTCATACACTAAGGACAGGTCCCGGACTCACTGCCTGGGGGCCCCCTAAACAGTTCAAGCTAAACAGCTGTCTCACTTATCCAGAGGGCCTAGTCCAGTTCCATGGGGGCTTCTCAGCTATTGGTTCACAGTTCATGTGTTTCCACTAGTTTGGCTAGTTGTCTCTGTACTTTTACCAATCATGGTCTCAATATCTCTTGCTCATATATAATCCCTCCTCTCTCTCGCCAATTGGGCTCCTGGATCTCTGCCTGCAGCTTGGCTGTGCATCTCTGCATCTGCTTCCATCAGTCACTGGATGAGAGTCTATCATGACAGTTAGGGTGTTTGGCCATCCGATCACCAGAGTAGTTTAGATCAGGCACCCTCTCGACCATTGCCAGTAGTCTATAATAGAGTCATCTTTGTGGATTTCTGGGGACCTCTCTAGCACTCTGCTTCTTCCTATTCCCATGGAGTCTTCATTTATCATAATACCCCATGTTCTTGTGGTGGATGCTTCTAGGTTCTCCTTGACTGACAACTCTGACTCAGAAATACCTGGCTCTGAAATTCTGTTTAATAACCTGTTGCTTCTGAACATTACCAATCCATGTTGGGTGCTCCTGTCACAACTCTTTTTAAATCCTGTTTTTAATTATATTATAAAGTATGATGTTTCTGTACAGCTTTTCATTGATCTTTAGTTTTCTTAACCCACTTTATTGACTGTTTCTTACTTCGAGAATTGAAACCCAGATTTTAAAACTCCTCCAGGTCACCAGAACTGTAGATTCCTACAGTAACCCTGCAAGAAAGGGCACGAACATAATCCTACCCTAGGGCAGGAGCAGAGAGTTTATATTCTGCTCGTGGTTGATAAATTTTAAGTGTTATATTGTCTTAAATGGAAGCTAGTGACATTCCTCCAGTGAGCATCAGTGCCTGGAATGTTGAGACAGAATCTGCAGTGCCCGGTGAGGAGCTGTGCTCAGGACAGAAGGGTGGAGGAGGAAGGATCGGTGAGGTTCAGGTGAAGAAGGTCTATAAGGAGGGGAAGACTTTTCTGGCAATGAGGAAGTCAGATGAACACAATTACAGGAAACTAAAGCACAACCCAGGCCATAATGGGGGTGAGCTTCCTTCATTGGGTCTGCTAGGTCTTGTCAACATTTCCAGAAACCTCCTTCTCCTGTGATCTTCTGTCTTGTAATGATCCTATTCACTCCTTAGTCAACCCAGAAAGAGTGTGGTCTCCTTTAGCTCTTACTTTCCCACTATTACTTCTTCCAACAACTCTAGAAAATTCTGTCTTGAGATGTTCCTGTTGCTGTCCCCTGGCTGTGCTACCTGGAAAGGATACTCTGTAGCCTGTTGAGCAACCTGCAGGTTGCTCAGGGTACTCCAGGATTCTAGTTTTTGTGAGTTGTCACCCATTCTGGCATTGTATTTAGTGATTCACCTACCTTTCAGTTATTTTTATGCCTGTAAACAACCCCTTACTTTGATGTTCTCCTCACTTTGATCTATCATATTGTTCTCTATCTAGCATGAATAGATGTTTGTTCACAGCCCTCAGGAATAGTTTCATACAACAGGCTTCCCTATTAAGGTTCATATGCTGAAGTCTGGATTTCAAATATGGGTGTGTATGGTGGAAAGATCTCTAAGGTCATGCCTAAGTCAAGACACTCATATACATGTGAGTATCAACCTTCAAAGTTACTAATGTATCTCCCTGGGATCCTGATGAATTCTTACTGGAGTATATTGGCACTCAATTTAATGCCCACAATATAGTTTTTCTTTCTGTATCTGGACATTTCCTTTTAGTTCCTCTAGCATTTAGTGATACAGCAAACAGCATTCTCATCAGAGGATGAGCAGATTGGTTTATATTGGACTTATACCTTCCAAAATTATCAGCTAAGTTAACCATTTCTTTATAATGAAACAGTGTCAATTGTCAACTTAGAGAAAGAGAAAGCAAATTGATACTTATTGAAGGGGAAAATGAAGCTTGAGATTGGTATTTTCATGATCACTCAGTAGAATTAGTGATGGAAATGATACTTTGGAGTATCTGCTTGGGCTACTGGCAGCTCTTCTGCCAGGGATGGGTACAGTGTGACTTTCAAACCATTACTGACACCTACACATGAAAAAACTTGCCTGTGGATAAAAATATGAATTAATCTATTTTAGTTTCACTGTGGGCACAAGACTGTAAGATCAACTATCCCAGGACCCATGTACAGACAGAGCACAGGGCATACACAAGTACCTCTTGTAGCCATGATCCTACCACATACCACCAAGGAGGAATTCTTCATGCCAGGATCCTTCACAAGGGTAGGTCGAGGGACTGGACAATTGTTAGCCTCCTTTCTTAAACATGGAACCATCTGCATTTGGGGAACTTTAGTTTTCAGTTCTGTTTTTCAGCTCATGGGTTTCATGATCTTTACAGTTAGACCTAGTCAATGAACCATCTGCAAAACAGTAGAGCAGACAGGGGCCCTTTAATCATAACATTTACATAACCCAAACCACCTTGAATCCCAACTACAGTATAATACAGTCTAAAAGATAACCAGTCTTTGCACCATCATGTCAGAAGCACTCATAAACCCAAGAATATGCTGATAATGATGCTGATGTTAGACAATCGGAATCAGGCTGACACTCATAGTTGAGATACTATCAACATTTAAGTTGGGGTGGACATTTGTGGATGAACAGGCATTAAATCAAAATCTGCCTTCACAAATACCAGAAGGATTCTGAACAATGAAATAGGAACACCAAAGAGGTAAGACAGCTGAGAGGTTGTTCCTCATGCATGTTGGTAAGAAAAGGGTAACACATCTATAGGAGATTGTTGAGTAAAATAGCATCAAATCAAGAACCGTAAGAATACTGTATAGCCGGGTGGTGGTGGCGCATGCCTTTAATCCCAGCACTTGGGAGGCAGAGCCAGGTGGATCTCTGTGAGTTCGAGGCCAGCCTGGGCTACCAAGTGAGTCCCAGGAAAGGCGCAAAGCTACACAGAGAAACCCTGTCTCGAAAAACCAAAAAAAAAAAAAAAAAAAAGAAAGAAAAAAGAATACTGTATTTTCTTTCTTTTTTTGTGCCAATTATTTTTTAAAATTTATTTATTTATTTAATAATTTGATTTAATTTTACATATCAGCCACGGATTCCCCTGTCCTCCCTCCTCCCACCCCCCTGCCCTTCCCCCAGCCCACCCTCCATTCCCATCTTCTCCAGGGCAAGGACTCCCCTGGGGATTCACCTCAAACTGGTAGATTCAGTCCAGGCAGGTCCAGTCCCCTCCTCCCAGGCTGAGCAAAGTATCCCTGCATAGACCCCAGGTTCCAAACAGCCAGCTCATACACTAAGGACAGGTCCCAGTCCCACTGCCTGGGTGCCTCCCAAACAGTTCAAGCTCATCAACTGTCTCACTTATCCAGTGGGCCTGATCCAG